TGGACCCCAACGCAGCTCTCCGGGTGATTTATAAGGTCCAGACAAACTATCCAAAGCCCCTGGTCAGCACCTTCTAGCAACAGCAGAAGCGACCGCTACCAGGTTGAGAAAGCCAGCGTTGTGTGCACAACAGAACCTTCGGCAATCTTCACGCCTGGTATGCCCTTCAGTCACGTAGCTGCATGCACTCGTTCACCTTCTCTTTGCCTTCCATCCCCCCCCCCTCCTCCCCTAGACTGGCTCCGCCAAACCCTTCTGGCATAACCAGTCTTCTCTTATCGACCCCACTCCCTTTTCCCACGAGTAACCTGTATGAAAAGACGAACACGTTTAAACTTGTACCCCGTTCCCATATAAATTTACTGGCCCGATGAGAATTTATCGAAAGCTTACGTACGCTCGCCAAATACCCTTCTGAACACGTTTAACAGTCTGTCTACTAGTTGGGCGCCAGTCCGAACTGATGATTACCTTAAAATAACCATTAATGTGTGTATTCTATGAACCCAAGTAGCTTATTTTGTTTCTTTACTAGTGTAGGGTAAAATAGACTACCTGTCCGTTATGGAAGTTAAAATAGGAAACGGGAAAATATAATTTAACTGATACAACTCATCAACGATTAAACAGCAACTTTACAAATCCCTATGCGCATGTGTATTGGTGTAAAAAGAGGGTACCTGACAAAAAATAAGCAGCAACTCCGACAGTCAAGTTTTCCACAGTTTTTTCTTCTTCCTTTCAGTATCAATTTTGCCCAGTAGCAGTTTTACCGTACTGCGGTTCTTTAACTTAAGGAGTATTCGTTCGACATGACGTCGACTGTTTAACTGAGCTATACAGCGAACCAAAAGGATGCTTGTTTTTCGAAGGTGCTGACAAACAACGCTGAGATCGACGATCACTTCGTTCTTCTCCGAGTCATGGAAAGCGATTTTGTGCTGCTTTGCAATCACTCGCAGCAATTCAATATCATCCATTATTACTACTATCAGTCGCTTAATACTGGCAATGTAGTATTGCGTCAGGCGTTGGCTACTGGCATCTACAGGCTCAGTGGGAGCTACATTTTTGGGAGCATGAATGACCACTTTGGCACATTTTAGACTGCTGGCGCTTCTGAAACCGCTCCTGATGATTGAGTACTTGTGCAAGTTCCCATTACCATCATTATCGCTCGAGACTGATAGAGACTTCGGAGCAGGACTTTGGGACGATATATACTTTGTCTTCAGTTTATCCAGTTCCAGCGCCTCTAACTGCTTACCGTTTAGCGTCTCCTCAGTTCTGAGTACTTTCTTAGTTGCGTCTGGAGGTAGTTGGTCCATCAAGGTGCGAACGGCGGCTTGCAGCACAGAGGTTGAAAATTGATCGTAAAACCAAACAAGTCGGAGTTTGA